AATAATAGTAGTAGTAGATAGATAAATACTCACTTTCTGTGACGACGGGAAACAAGTGATGTTACAGAAGCGCAAGCTTTTTCTCTCTTGTGGACAGATGTTCCCTTCTGGTTCGTGCGCCGTTTCTCGTGGCTGATGTGATGGCGGCGGGCTGTGGCTGTCTGCGGCGGGGGATGGAAGGATGGACAGACGAGCAGAACCACCAAGAGTGCCCTTCGAGACCGCTCACACCATTCGAAAGTCCTACTGGGGTTTGGACGACTCGGATACCGCCTTATATATACCCCCGGGTTCACGTGGTGCCCGCATGATGCCTTCGTTGTGGCACCCCCTGCTCTTGCCCCGGCGCGCTCTCTCTTGCTCCTCTTGCTCCCCTCCTCCCTCCCTCCCCCCTCTACGATGCCCTGCCTACCTTGCCCTGCCCCTTCTCCCTACTTCCCATGAACGTTCTCGTCCAATAGCCACCCCGGCTCCTGGCCCTTCCCACGCCCTTCCCTCTTCCCCCACCCTCCTTTCTCCTCCCCTTTCTTAGCTCCTCCTCCTCTTCCTCCTCCCCCTCTCCCTTCTCCCTCCTCCTCGCCCTCCTCCCTCCTCTTCGTCTTCCCTCCTCCCCCCCTCCTCGTCCCTCCTCCTCCTCCCCATCCTCTTCCTCACTATTCCCTCCTCCTCCTCCTCCCCTCCTCCTCCTCCTTCTCCTTTTCCTACTTTTTTTCTCGACCTTTTCTTATTGTTATATCTTTGTCTCATTCAATCACATCTTCCATATTGAATGAAAATAATATCACATGGTTCTATTACCATACAGTATTTTGTAATAAATTTAAAAATTATGTTTTTTTTCGAAACGTTTTTTGATAAGGAAACGTGACGTTTGAGCTGGCGACTTGAATTGATAATGAAGGAACAGCTTATTCCCTTACCCAGTCAAAGGAAAGTCAATTAGATGCTTGAATGTATTACATATATTACACACATTACATACACATATCATCTCTATTCTTTTTCTATATCTAATGTTTCTGTACATTGTTCCTATCTCTTTACTTATCTATTATTTTCTCCTGTGGTCTCAAAACGTATTCATTCTGTATTTCTCTCTTTTTTTGTATTTTTTTGTATTTTTTCTCTTATTATTCCATTTTATCCTTATTCTCTTCCTTTTCCTACTTTATCTGTTTCTATTTTTTTCGTCTTCTTTTTTCTTGGCTCTTCATGCCTCTATCATTCCTTCCCACACAGCTCGTATTCCTCTCTCTCTCTCTCTCTCTCTCTCTCTCTCTCTCTCTCTCTCTCTCTCTCTCTCTCTCTCTCTCTCTCTCTCTCTCTCTCTCTCTCTCTCTCTCTCTCTCTCTCTCTCTCTCTCTCTCTCTCTCTCTCTCTCTCTCTCTCTCTCTCTCTCTCTCTCTCTCTCTCTCTCTCTCTCTCTCTCTCTCTCTCTCTCTCTCTCTCTCTCTCTCTCTCTTCTCTGTCTCTCTCTCTCTCTCTCTCTCTCTCTCTCTCTCTCTCTCTCTCTCTCTCTCTCTCTCTCTCTCTCTCTCTCTCTCTCTCTCTCTCTCTTCTCTCTCTCTCTCTCCTCTCTCTCCTCTCTCTCTCTCTCTCTCTCTCTCTCTCTCTCTCTCTCTCTCTCTCTCTCTCTCTCTCTCTCTCTCTCTCTCTCTCTCTCTCTCTCTCTCTCTTCTTCTCTCTCTCTCTCCCTCTCTCTCTCTCTCTCTCTCTCTCTCTCTCTCTCTCTCTCTCTCTCTCTCTCTCTCTCTCTCTCTCTCTCTCTCTCTCTCTCTCTCTCTCTCTCTCTCTCTCTTCTCTCTCTCTCTCTCTCTCTCTCTCTCTCTCTCTCTCTCTCTCTCTCTCTCTCTCTCTCTCTCTCTCTTCTTCTTCTCTCTCCCTCTCCTCTCCTCTCTCTCTCTCTCTCTCTCTCTCTCTCTCTCTCTCTCTCTCTCTCTCTCTCTCTCTCTCTCTCTCTCTCTTTCTTTCTCTCTCCCTCTCTTCTCCCCTCTCTCTCTCTCTCTCTTTCTTTCGTCTCTCTTTCCTGTCCATTTCACTTTTTCTCTTTTTTTCTCTATTTCTTTCTGTTTCTGTCAGTCTCTCTCTTTCTCTCTTCATATATATGTATATATATGTATGTATATGTATATATATATATATATATATATATATATATATATATATATATATATATATATATATATATATATACATATACACATATACATACCCTTTATCCCATGTGTGTGTATGTTTGTATGTACGTATATGTGTATTTATATATATATATATATATATATATATATATATATATATATATATATATATATATATATATATATATATATACATTTACACATACCCTTTCTCCCATGTGCTTCCACCGCGATCCTTCCTTGCCCACATCCTCCCCACGTGCCATGCCCCGCCCCCCGCCCCGCCCCGCCCCCGGCCCGCCCACCGCCAAAGTCAGTTCAGGGACAAGGTCAGCTCACTGCGGGTCCCGCGCTCGCCGCCTTCTGTCTCCAGGCGTGATGGCGGAGTGTGCGCGCGCCTTCCCTCTCTCTCTCTCTCTCTCTCTCTCTCTCTTTCTTCTTTCTCTCTCTCTATTTCTGATTTTTTTTTCTCTTTCTCTCTTTCTGTTTTTTTTTTTCTCTCTCTCTTCTCTTTCTCTCTCTATTTCTGATTTTTTTCTCTCTCTCTTTTTTCTTTCTCTTTCTATTTCTGATTTTTTTCTGTCTCTGTGTCTTTCTTCTCTTTCTATCTCTTCTCTCTAAGTCTTTTTCTTCTCTCTTTCTCTCTCTCTCTTTCTGAATTTTTTTTGTTTTCTTTCTCTCTCACTCTCTTTTGTCTTTTTTTTTAATTAGTTGGTTTGGTGATTTTTTTCTTTCTCTTTTTTTTCTGCTTCGCTATCTCTCTGTTTCTGTTTATGTCTCTGTATGGTTTTATTTCTCTATTTATCTGTCTCGCTTTGTTTATTTGTTCATTTATCTGTTCCTCCATTTCTTTCCTACTCTTTCTAAAGAGGGGGGGGCAGGGGGGGAAGGATGAGGGGTTAGGGTGTTCATTTTAGTTCGGGAATACGTTGTCTTCTTCTTCTTCTTCTTCTTCTTCTTCTTCTTTCTTCTCTTCTCCTTCTTCTTCTTCTTCTTCTGTTTCTTATCTTTCTTATTATCCCCCTTCTTCTTTTTCTTCTTCTTTTTCTTCTTCTTCTTCTTCATCTTCTTCTTCTTCTTCTTCTTCTTTTTTCTTCTCTTCTCCTGCTTCTTTTTTTTCTTCTCTTCTCTTTCTTCTTTTTCTTTGTTCTCTTCTCCTTCCTCTTCTTCTTCTGTTTCTTATCTTCTTACCCCCCTCCTCCTTCTTTTTTCTCCTTCTTCTTCTTATCCCTTCTCTTCTTCTTCTTCTTCTTCTCCTTCTCCTTCTGCTTCTTATCTTTCTCCTCCTCCTCCACCTCCTTCTTCCTTTTCATTTTTATTCCTCGTCTTCTTCTCTCCATCTTTTTTGTTTCAATCTACTCAGATGGAGAGATGGGCAGACAGATAGATAGTTTAATACATACATACATCACATATATACTTACATATATACATACATACATATATACTTACATATATACATACATACATATATACTTACATATATACATACATCACATATATACTTACATATATACATACATACATATATACCTACATATATACATACATACATATATACTTACATATATACATACATACATATATACTTACATATATACATACATACATATATACTTACATATATACATACATACATATATACTTACATATATACATACATACATATATACATAAATATAAATAGATGGATACATAGATAGATAGATAGAGAGATAGATAAATAGACATATATTGATGTCTATAAAGACACATCTGACATATACGAAAAGTAGTTTGTAAAAGTATGTAAAGTAAGAGGAAGTAGAGAGGAATAAAAGGGAGAGAGAGAGAGAGAGAGAGAGAGAGAGAGAGAGAGAGAGAGAGAGAGAGAGAGAGAGAGAGAAAGAGAGAGAGAGAGAGAGACCAAAATAAACGACATAACGGCAATAAAATAAAATAAAAAAATAAAAAAAAAAGACAAATATGACCAAGTGATGATGGCAATGAACAAGAGAACGCCAATAAGGACATAGAGCAATAAAATACAGTCGTAAAAGAGTCTCCCCTTGACATGCGGAGAACACGGCAACCAACACCGGACTTGAAGGAGAGAGTGAGGCAGGAAGAGAGGCAGGAAGAGAAGTAGGGGGGAAGGGGAGGAGAAGGAAGAGAGTTAGAGGGGGGGGAGGGGAGAAAGGGGGGAAAGGAGGGAGGGAGAGAGAGGAGAGAAAAGGAGAAAGTGAGGTGGAAGAGAAGTAGGGGGGGAGGAAGAGAGGTTAAGGGGGGGGGGGAAGAGAGTTAGAGGGGGGAGAGGGGAGAAAGGGGGGAAAGGAGGAAGGGAGATGGGAGAAAGGGGGAAATGGAAGGAGTGAGACGAGAGAAAAGGAGAAAAGGAGAGAGAGAGGTAGGGAGCGCAAGGGGAGAGAGTAGGGAAGGAGAGGGGAGAAAGGGGGGAATGGAGGGGGGAGAGAGAGAAGAGAAAAGGAGAAAGTGAGGTGGAAGAAAAGAAGAAAGTGAGGTGGAAGAGAGGCAGGGAGGGGGAGGGGAGAGGGCAGAAAGGGGGAAAAGGAGGGAGGGAGAGGAGAGAAAAGGAGAGCGTGTGGAAGAGAGGGAAGGAGGGAGAGGAGAGAAATGGAAAAAGTGAGGTGAAAGGGAAGCAGTGAGAGGAGGGGAGGAAAGAGGGGAAGGAAGTGTGAGGAAAGAGAAAGGTAGAAAGGGAGAAAGAGGAGAGAGGGGAGAAAAGGGAAAAGGGGGAGAGAAGGAGGGAGGAGAAGGGATAATCAGAAGAAAAAGAGCAAAAAGGGAGATAGCGAGAGGACGGAAGAAGAGGAGGAAGGAAAATGGAATGTAAGGGGAACAAGGAAGTAAGAGAGAAATGAGGAAAGAGAAGAGGAGATTATGAGGGAAGAAAAGGGGTAAGATGAAGGAATGGAAGGGGTCGAGAGAGAAAAAAAGAAAGGGGTAGATAGCAGAACAGGAGAAGGGGGGAGAGGGGTGGGGGGGAAATGAGGAGAGAAAAAATGAATTGGATATTGAAGGAGAAAAGAAAGAAATAAAGAGAAAAGGGGGAGGAAGAAGGAGAGGAGGAAGAGGGGAGAGAAAAAAGAGAATAAGGAAGTGAGAATGAAGGAGAGGAGAGAAGAGACAGATAAAGGGGGCGAAAGATTGTGGTAGGAGAGGAAGAGAGAAGGCAGAAAAAATAAGTATATAGAAGAGAAGAAAAGAGAAAACAGAAAGAAAATGGAATAAGA